TATAATAGGCCTCCATTTTTGGAGTCATGAAGGCTTGATCTCCAACAACAACCTTTGGGTTGATCTGGTATTTCTCAAAATAGTCATTCATGATGGACATGGTAGTATGTTCCTCCTTGTCCTGAACAACTTCAGATGTCAGGAGGTTTGTCGCTCCATCATAAAGTATGAGAAATATAAGTCGACTAGCCTTGCCAGGAATTGGCAATTCACCATGGTCTACGAAAGTTAGACCCCCGAAGGTTTCGGATCTTAGACCTGATATTTTCGCCCGCGAAGGGGCTCGTTTGTGTTCCTGACAAGCTGAGCACTTCTTGACCAGTTGGTCATAGAGCTCATAAATTTCCTTCGGAATCTGAAGAGCCTTTGTCCTTCTTTTGAACTGATCTATGTTCATGTGACGATGCTTCAGATGAAGCTTGTAGAGTTCAACTGGATCCTTGAGCTTCTCGTGAATCCTGCGAAGGGCAATAGGAAGAGAGGGTGCCGGTTCAGGCACAATTTCCTCTCCGTGGTCTCTCTCACCTGTTGGTGAGTCTGTCCTAGGAGCAGGGTATTCTCTTGACTCAAGTGGTTCTACCTCCGTCCCGTGATCAGCTCCTGGGACAACAGATCTCTCCTCCACTGGAGGTTTAACTGCATATTTCTTCTTCTTGAGAAGATTTTTGAGACCTCTTGGAGTCTTTACCCTTCCTGGTGGAAGCTCAGGCTTCTCTTCAGAAGGAAGTTCGGGTGGTTCCGAAACTTCTGGAGGTTTGTCTCTTGAGCCTGATGCTGGTTCCGATGATTCGGCAGGCTCAGGTGGTTCACCAGATGGTTCTGGTGGATCAGACCTTCTAGCAGAGGATTCTGCGGGGTCTGGTGGAGGTGTCTTCTTTTTGCCTGGAATGCCCTTGGGCGGAGGATCCGCTGCGCCTTCCGGTGCCTTGTCACATCCCTTCAGGAAAGTGTGAGGCTTCTTTTGTCCTGCACAGGCTGGACAACGACCTTCCGGAATCTTTGTGTAAGATCGCCTGTCTTCCTTCGGCTTCTTGGCTCCTAAGGCAGTTTCTGTTGCTTGAAAGGAAGAACCGTCCTTAGGACATACTTCCTGGTGGAAGTGAAGCTTAGAAGGTCTAGCACCAAGTGATTATTGGTACTGATCGGAAGGGGGGTCTTATAAAGACCAAAAGCTTCACACGTTGCAAGATCCGCGGTCGGACTGCACTCTAGGGTCATTCTAAGATTCCTCATCTGTTCAATGGAAAACAGAATGGGAACCTTGCCTTGATCGAGCACCTCTATGGTAGTATCCCGTCTGGGAGTTGTGTTAAACCACAAGGTTACACGCTCCTTGATAAGAGCTGTTTCACTATCTGCAAAGGAGAACTTCGTGTTCGAAGGTGAGAAAGTGAAATCAATCATGCCTGGAGCATGTTGCTTGACGGCCTTGATAAGCCGATTCACCGCATAGCGGGATCCCATGGCCCTTGTACAACCTGAGTCAAGAATGACAAAGGTAGGGCTTCGATCAAGATTGATCCGCTCTGTGAGAGCAGATAGGACGGTGTGCTGCAACGGAAACACTGCTGTTGCAGTCTCCACACCTGGCCCCTGACGTTCATCATGCGCCAAAGGCAAATAACTCTCTGAGGAGTTGTACACGGTATCATGGTGCGCGCTCGGATCTGTGCCTCTACCTGATGATCCTTTGTTGTTCCTTCTCTTCTTTCTCCGTGCTTTACGTTTTGAGGCTTGTGCATAGTACGTTTAAGACGTATTTTCGTCATAAGCGGCATAATTCCAACCGGAGTCAGTGTAGTAACTGTCCTCGTACCATGAATCCCAGCTCGGTGTGGTGGAACCTTCATAGGCATGTGGAGATGCAGTTTGATCTCCTTGTAAGGAGGCAGACTTAGCTGTATCCTTACCTTTGCCCTTTCCTTTGGTGCCTTTGAAAGAGCTTCCTTTGTCTTCCTTTCCTTTTCCTTTCCATTTGCCTTTTCCACCTTTTCCTTTGTCCTTTCCTTTTCCTTTACCGAAATAACTGGAATCGGCTGGATCATGTTCTGCCTGGTTGGCTCTCCCTTTTCCGCGGTATGACCTAAAACGGCCACGTCCCTTTCGCTTGCCACCCTTTGCTCTTCCCGGTGATCCGGGACGCATTCTTGGTCTTCTTCCTTTCTTGAATCTCCTTGCAACGAAGGCCTCATGGTCATCCACTGTCCAGAAGACAGCTTCCTCATCTTCAGCGGCAAGAAAGCCTTCCTCAAGGGCGTCTTCATCTTGGAGCCAGAATCCATCGACTCCGTCGTATTCACCCTGATCGAGGATGAGAAAGTTCCGACCTCCGCGTTTGCGGCGTTGGTCTCTCCTTCCATGGCGGTCCTTCTTGTGAGAAGTATGCCGAATGTTGGGATCCTGCAAACCAGTTCTGGTCGTTGAAAACTGATCGAACATAGTTTGCCGTACCACAGGGTACGTGTAGGTCTCAATTCGGTAACCTTGGTTGGTCAATGCTGATACCAACCTCTCACGTTGTATCTCATTCAGGTCGGACTGCACTAGGAACAGGAGAGCTAGGAGATTGTCATTCAGTGGAAACGCTCTACGATGATTATCATGGCGTTCCCTGTTCCATGTCTCAAAGAATCATGCGGCATACTGGTCCCTCTCATGGGCATCCTGCAGGCGAGTGAAAGTTTGATCTTGCTGCACTGCCGTTACAAACTCCTGATTGGCATCTTCCAGGTTTATCTCTGGTAAGAGATCCATCCAAGAGTTTCGCAGTCTATTGAGCACGATCTCAAACTTGGCAATCCAAGTGACAAAGTCTTGGTTGCCTTTCCACGCCTTGAACAGGCCAAGGAACCGCCACAGGAAAACATATTGTTCTCCTTTTACGAAAAATGGACGCATCTTCTTCTTGAAGTAATCTACTCCATCTGGGGCTGCAAGCCTTTCTCGGTTGAGTGATTCCTTTTGTACTGCGGCCAATCCGGAGAGCCTCGTCTTGAGAGACGGACCTCTTTTGGTGTCATCCAGCGTTGTTATGTCGCACCAGTCGTCAATCAACTGTTCATACTCAAACCACGAAGTGGTGCCATCATAGGCAGGCGCGATCTTGGGCGTTATGCCTAATGATGCAAGCATGCGGTCAGATGTTGCATATGACTGCGCGACATAAGTGGCTGGACCTTGTGAGGTCTCCTCGTTCTCATATCCCCCGGAGGATTGGGAGCTGCCGTCGGCTTCGCTGTGCGAGCTCGACATGGTGCTGCCTCAGCCCGCTTTGCTAAGCGATCGGCTAAGCCGACCGCTGTTGCGGTGCTTTGTGAGGCGGGCGGCCCTTCCGGGCTCCGCTACCAGAAAACTGAGCCGATACACCCCTTTAGGATTACTCCTGTGGGAGTGTATGACCAGTTTGAGTCCCGTGGGATCTAAGGCAACGCCCAGCACACGGACAGCGATTGTTTTGTTCTGCTACGCAGAGAGAGCTTGCTACAAGTCTGTAAAACCACTTGAACCAGTGAGCAGCGGAATGTATATATGTGAGCATGCGACCAAGACATTGCTGTAAGTACAACCCCTTTAGAGGTTTAAGTAAACAGGGGGGAGGCAGGGTCGAAGCCTTTAACCCCCCTTTAAGCCCCCCCTTAAGCCCCCTTCAAGCCCCCCTTCAAGCCCCCCTTTAAGCCCCCCTTTAAGGGGGGGGATTAACCCCCTTTACAACCAGAATCCCTACTTTACAACCAGAATCCCCACTTTACAACCACAGACACTGTTTTCCGTGTGAGAATCCCCACTTTACAACTGCCGATCGTGAGAATGCCCACTTTGCAACCCGTCTACCCATGATTAAGACTTATTGGGATTTCATGAGTTTTTTACAACAAACCTACCTAGATTCCTAATAGTTTGTTGGTTCTTTGACCCCGTAAAGTGTTTTACGTGGCCTTCATGCGACCGTGGCCCCAAACTACTAAGATCTCGAACATCCCTAAAATTGCTTCGTCGCATGATATCTTTGATCTTTGTCGTCTGTGGGTGCTTCTGTGCGCCTGGCTGGAGGCAAAGCAGTAGTTGAGGGCTGCTCCGGATTATATGCGCCCGAACCCTTGTTTGGAATATGCACCCGAACCCTACGCCTTAAACCCTAAGCCCTAAACCCTTGTAAACCCACTAGGTTTAGAATATGCACCCGAACCCTACGCCTTAAACCCTAAGCCCTAAACCCTGGTAAAGCCACTAGGTTTAGAATATGCACCCGAACCCTACGCCTTAAACCCTAAGCCCTAAACTAAACCCTTGTAAAGTTACTTGTAAAGCCACTAGGTTTAGAATATGCACCCGAACCCTACGCCTTAAACCCTGAGCCCTGGACCCTTGTAAAGCCACTAGGTTTAGAATATGCACCCGAACCCTACGCCTTAAACCCTAAGCCCTAAACCCTTGTAAAGCCACTAGGTTTAGAATATGCACCCGAACCAAATGCATACCTGCGCTCTGGTGAGAAAAGAATCCGTTTCTAAAACTCATGTTTTCTTTCTGCTTTCCCCAATACAAACACACTCGGTCCGAGTTTGCCTGCAGGGAGTGAGTTGGATACAGCTTGACGGCCGCAAGTGCGTAAAGTTGCGCGGAGGTAGGGTTGCGTATTGGGCTCACTTTTTGTCTTGACACTCAAAAGAGGGCTGCGGTAAGACAGCTTAAGCACAGTTGGCTCAAACCCTCTGGTCTCTACACTGCAGCTACTTACCTAGGTTTCCTAGTGTAGCCTACAAAAATCTCGCACCCCCCTTAGAGGTAGGGGTTTGAGAAAGCACCTCCCGCGGGGCATCCCGCAGTCGGAGGGTGAGACGCCCCTGGTAGGGCGGAGCGTCCCGCACACAGGGCTGGCAGCCGAAAGGCTCGCCCTGCGGACGGAGCTCAGCCCATTGCAGTTGGTGAAAAGATGGATCTTGTCACCACGGGCTGTCTCGTAGAGATGCTCGTCGTCCCCCGAAAGGGGTTCCGGTCCCCTACGCCTGCGCCGCACCCTTGGTGCAGCGGGCGGCGGTGGTGGAGGAGCTGCCGCAGGCGGCGGACCTGGAGTCCGCTCACCCTCAGGTTCTGGCTCCTGAGCCCCCCTAGGCTGTTGCTCCCTCCTTTCCTCTTGCGCCTCTTGCGGCGCTTCTGGCCCTAGCCAGACCTCCGTGGCCCTTTGGGCTGCACGCGGCGGCTCTACGGCACGCTCGGCGTGGTGCTCGATTTCTTCCTCGGGCTCCGGCTCCTGCCTGTCACGCCTGCACCTGCAGAGCCAGGAGACTAAACCCCAAAGCATCCACAGGAAGGCCAGGAAGCCTAGGGCCGCGAAGCCGAGCACCAGCTCTGCGAAGTCGTGCCCTTGGGCCTTAGCAGGTCGAACCTGCAGCGCCACGATTGTGGCCATGAGCGCCGAGCTTGCAGGCTTGGTCGGCGGTCTCATCTTCCAGGGGCTAGCCTGGATCGACTTGATCGTGCCCTTTTGGGCCAGAGCCTCGGTGGCGCCTGCGACCGCATCGAGGTCTACCATGCCCATGGAGGGCAGGGATTGCCGCACCTCCGGTCCAGTCTTCGCGTGCTTGGTAGCGAAGTTTGCCGGATTTTCGGTTCCCTTAACTTTTCTCAGTTCGAGAAGTTTGGCTCTGAGCGGCTAGGGCAAAGTCCTTCTCCGCAAGCTCTCGTAGGAAGACAGCCTCCCTTGCTGCTCGTGACACTCCCCGGATCTCCGCGTCTCCGCTGGAGGTGGCTGGGAGGCCAGGCTGTGTCTGGCAGCTTGTCTGGATGACTGCTCCCCCGAGACAGGCAACTATATTGTCTGTGCTCCTTCTCGTTTCTGGGCACCCTGCCCAGTCGGAGTCGGAGTAGACCTCCAAGTTCAGAAGGGCTGTGCTCTTGGACGCGGGGTCCAGCACAACTACCCTTCCAAACCGCGGGGTTGCCCGCAGGTATCGCGCGAGGGTTTCCGCAGCGAGCCAGTCGCAGACCCTGGGGTTCTGCATTCTTCGCGCCAGCTCTTTCACGGCGAACTGTATGTCTCGCCTGTCCGCCGACAGGTAGATAGCACTACCCGCGGCGCTGCGGAACCTCGCGGCGTCACTCGCAGAGAGCTCCTCGACCTTAGTCAGGTCTAGAGGTCTGCTAGGCACGGTCCCCTTGTCTTTTGGACCGATGCCCAGCTGCTCGCACACATTCTCAGCGTGCTTGCTGTCGGGCAGCGTGAGGATAGAGTCCTCTGTGCGCACCTTGGTCCTTCCCAGGACCTCCACCGCTGTGCCCGGCTCTTCCAGTTCTCCCACCGTTATCTCACAGTGCGTCGGGAGGTCCACCTCCGTGAACTTCAGCACGGCCTTGGGGCCTGCGACACGGATGTCGTCGATGTGGTGGAGAAGGATTAGGCCGGACCGGCGGTCTAGGTACACGCGCGGGTCCTTCACGCCCCGCTGGAAGTCGTAGTCCTTGGCCAGCTTGCCGGTGAGGACTTCTTCCAGCTCGTCCCTGTAGACGGAACCAGCCGTTCTTCGGCCGTAAAGGTTGCCGTCCACTCGGAACACAAAGTCCCTGAAGTGGTCTCGGTACCACTGCTGGTCCTTTGCAGGCTGCTCCAAGACCCATTGGTCAAAGAGCTCGCGCCACTCCACAGGCGCGTACATGTAGACCGGGCGGCCTTCCGCCGCACCGCGGTCCTTCCCTATGAGGAAGGCGGCCACAATATCCAGAGACCTTGTGACCCACCCCTCGTTGTGTAGCGCTGCTACCTCAAGTAGGGAGTGACTCTCGGGCGTTGGCGTTGGGACGAAAACGTCCAAGCCAGCTTCCTGTTCTGGGCTGTAGCGGGCCTTGACGTCGGCACAGGTACACCTTGACTTGTACCGCCCTTTGTCGCACTTGTCGACCCACTTTGCCCTGAACAGCTGCGCCCCGCGCGGTACTTCAGACCGCAGCACAGGCGTGAAAGCGCCTCGGTCCCACAGCTTTCTTAGCTGCTCCTTGCGTGCCTGCTCGACTTGCTTGGGGTAGAGCATCCGGTCTAGCAGGTCTGTCACCTGCCCAACCCACGCGTCCCGCTCGCCCTTGTGGTTGGTGAGCGGCGGGTCAGCGATGTGCTGCCACACCTCGCGCTCTGTGAGCGCTCCTAGCCGCGGTGCCTTCTTGCACTCCACCCGGCTCTTTGCTGCAGGTGGCTGCTGTGCTGCCGCTGCGCTCGCGGAGGAACCCGCAGAGTCGCGCTTCTGCCCCCCTTCGCCTGAGCCGTCGTTGGCGGCTGGGGCGGGGCTTGCCGCTTGTTGCGGCAGCGCGCTTGCTGCGGAAGGTCCTGCCTCCACGTCGGACGGAGCCAGGGCTCGCCGGGCGGTTCTAGCCGCTCCGTTTCCTCGGCCGGCGTGGCCAGAGGGATTGGAACCATCATCGGCTCACTGCACTCTGCTGGCGCTGAGCGGCCAAATCTAGGGTTCCAAGGCAGGCCGCACGCTTTGAGAACGGCTGCTGTCTGGTGTCGGGTTCCGGCGGGAGTCGCCTGACGCTCCTCACGTTGAGTGCGCCAGCTTCGGTTAGCACCACATGGGAGTCGTCGCGCTTTTGACCCAGCGCACCTGCGCTTTGTTCCTGGGCCTCGGGAGCTTAGCTAGAACGGTTTCTCCAAAGGAGCAAAGTGCTCCACCATAGTCGGTGCCAGTGGCTGCCCGATATGGTGTCACCCCGTCCGTCGACTTGGTCCCGAACCGGGCTTGCAGCCAGGCCACGTGCCTTACCAGCCACGGGAACAGGTTGGACGAAGTGTCCCACTCTAAGGCGGGGTAGTCCGCTCTTAGCTGCGAAAGCCAAGTGCGAACTTCACCTGCTAGGTGTGCGTTCCTTCCCTCCACGGATCCTTGGCTTTGGTGTAATTTGGTGTGACCCGCGAGGGGCGTCCCGAAGACGCACCCTAGTAGCTCCTAGCCGGCGGTGGACCGCACGGGCCACAGAGGCTATGGCGTTCTCTTGGTCGGCCTGCAGGGTGAACTTGTCGTACCCCAGGCGGTCCACGAACTGCTCCACAAGCCCTGCGGCGTAAGCCGCATGTCTGTGCCCTTTGTGCGCCACGGGAACTGACAGAGTCCAACCAGTGGCCCTGTCTGTGAGGTTCAGCACCGTGGCAAGCGATGCTTCTTCCTCAACTTCTTTCCCGTCCCGGCTGTAGAACTGATAATCCATGGTGACAAGCGGCGTCACCGGATCATCCGAGGGCTCACGGCGGCGGTGAGGGTCCTCGCGAGCTCGTGCTCGGCGCGTTCCTGCGCCGTGGGGTCTGGCCTGGAGTCAGGCTGCTCGGCCTGCTCCTCTAGAGGGGCGGGGTTACCCGCAGCCTCCTCCTCTTCAGCAGCTTCGGCCTCTTCGTCGGCTGCTGCTTCCATCGCCGCGTCCTCTACCTCTCGAGCTTCGAGGTCATGCTCCGGGATATAGTCGTAGTGTCCCAGGTCCCGGCCTGGGCTCGGGGGCTCTGGTGCCACCGGAGGAACTGTGACCCTCTCTTGAGGATCGAGGCTCGGACGCCGTCGGGCCACAAAATGTGGCTGTCCTCTCGGTGGAGCCAAATGCCCGCACCGGCCTCAACAGCACGGCTGATGCTGAGGATTTCGTCCTCTATGTCCTCGGTCACCTCAAAGTTGACCTTGCAGGACTGGCGCTCCTCCCCTAAGAGGAGGTTCGGCTGGACACGGCCCTTGGTCTTCAGGCGGCTGTTGTCCACCGAGTAAAGGCTCTTTGGTGGGCCCGCGGGCTGCAGGTCGGGAAACGCCTCGGGCCTGCAGACGGACACACACGCCCCGGAGTCCACAAGAAGACTCCCCGACACCTTGAGGATTTTGTCCTCCTCCGGCTCGGTGTCGTGAGGCGGGGCAAACCGCACACCTAAGATGCGGTCGTCGCGCACCTGGCGCACCTGGCCTTTGCCGCCAGAGCCGCCGGTGCTTCCCCCAGCCTGGGACGCGGAGGGACCCGCAGTCGCCAAGGAGGCTGTTGACACCGTCGTGGCCGCGTCGTCGGCCACTTGGGCCACCTGGCCCTTGGTGCCTTTGCCTTTTCCCTTGGCGTTAAACCAGCACTCTTTTACGGTGTGCCCCGTTTTCCAGCAGATGGGGCATCTCTCTTTGCCGTCTCTGCCTCCTTGCTGGTTCCCCTTTTTGTCCCTTTTTCCTTTGCCTTTGTTGTCGTGGTCGCCCTTGCCCTTTCTGTGGTCTTTGTCCCCTTTCTTGCCTTTGTCGCCTTTGCCCTTCCCTTCTTTTCCGTCTCGGTCCCCTATTCTGCCAATGTCCATGGCGTTAGGGTCCCTTCGGGAAGAGGCGGCGTAGCCCGCACTCGGGGTCCAGACCCTTTTGGCTTGCAAGTAGCTCACCACTACCTCCCTCACCTCGGCATAAGTCGAAAGACTCGCCGCGTGCATAGCGAGGTGCTGCCGAAGAGCATTGGGGCTCTCGGTCACCAGCACTGCCCGCAGATCTTCGTCTGCTAGGGCGCGCCCCGCGCCATACTCGGAGGCGTAGCGGTCCACATCTGCCTCCCATTCCTGCAGAGCCAAGGAGAAGTCGCTCTCCTTTGGCGGGAACTTTGGCATCAGCAGGGTCCGCCTCCAGGTGAGGTTCTTGGACTCATTCTCTGGGTTGTGCTCCTGCCACAGGAGACGCCAGAGCTCGAACCCATTTTGGCCCTTCACTCCGCGCGCCAGCTTCACAGCTGTGGCGGAGTCCTGGGTCCAACTGCCCAGCATGCCGAAGAGGCGGACGCTGAGGGTCCGCACTTCCTCGGTCATGGCTGCCATTTGGAGTGGCGCCTTGCACTTTCGCGCTATTTCCAGCTCTGCCGGATACCTGTGTCCACGACCGCCAGGTAAGACTCTGCCTGAAAGGCAAAGCGCTCCCAGTCGTCTCGCCCCTTAAGGGAAGTTGGGAGCCGCATGCTCTTGAGCAAGTGCCCTCCACCGCTCGCCTGCGACGCAGGGGCGGGTGCCGCCGTGGCGACTGCCGCCGTAGCGGCTGCTGCAGCTAGGCCCTGTTGTCTCTGGGCCGACAACTCGCCAATCGCAGCCTGCAGCTGCTGCGCTTGGCTCTCCAACAACCCCCTAAGGGTTGCGACTTCCCCGCGCAGAGCCTCGACCACGGGGTCGCGTTGCGGGGGCGGATAAGCCGGCTGCTGGCTCATCTCTTGAGGCGTCGAAGATGGCCTGGCTGATCTCGTCCAGCAAGACCAGGGCTTCTCCGTACTGCTCTGCCAGCCTTGGGTTGCCTTCCCAAGGGGTCTCTGGCCTGTTGCGAGCCGCGTGCCTGAGTCCGTTTAGGAACTGGCACGGCCCTTGGCCCTCGGAGCTCTCCTCTTCGGACTCCTCTTCCTCACCTTCGTCGGCCGGCGAGGTGGGCTCTAGCTCCTCCTTTGGAGCTTCCTCCCGAGGCGCGGGAGGTACCGCAGCCTCGGGCTCTGCTGGCCCTGGCTGTGCGGCCTTGGGTTCCTCCTTTAGCGGAGGCGGTGGTCCCAAGTGAGGTGGCGGCGCCTTCACCGTCGGTGCTTTGGCTGCCGGAGCACCTCTCGGTACCTTCGGCTCTGCCTCCGGGGTGCTCCGTGGGTCCACTCGCCGGGGCTGCTTGCTCCTGCCCAGCTTCGGAGCTGGGGCTTCCAGAGCTCTCTTCTTTTGCCTCGGCCGCCTTGGGCGCTGCCTTCGGTGAGGCTTCTGGCTTTGCCTCCTCGGCTGGCTCTGCGGCCGCCTTTGCGGAGGCAGGCGGGGCAACCCGCTCTGCCGGCTCTTCCTTCTTAGCAGGGGTGACCCCGCCAGAGGAAGAAGCTGGAGCAGCAGCGGGCGGGGTTTCCCGCTCTCCTTCGGAGTTGCTTCCCCCGAAGTCTGGAGTGTCCTCGCCAGGCACGGGGCCTGTGAAGACTGGCGCCTTGGGCACCGGCGCGGTGTCCAAGGAGGATTCCGAGCCCTGGCCGGCACCCGCAGGAGCTTGCTCCGGAGTGCGCGGCTCTGGGATATCAGTCCCCGGGCCCTCTACGAGGACGACCGGGTCTGTACCCTCTCTTTCGCGCCTTTCGGCGCCGCGGGCCTCGTGAGAACGACCACCTCGGTGGTTCTTCTTTTTCCCAGAACCCTGCTCAGGCTCTTGGGTCGCAGGCTTGCCCTTGCCGGACTTGCCTGCTGGAGCTGGCCTGCCCTTTGCGGGCTGCTCTGCTCCTTTTGCTTGTGCTGCCTTGCCCTTTGCGGGCTGCGCAGCTGCCTTGGCAGGCTTGCCTTTGGCGGGCTTCCCTGCTCCCTTCTCCCCGGGGGGTTCGGCTCCCCGACTCCGAGGCGGGGCGGCCCGCACTCGGGCCGGTCTTGCCTTTGCCCTTCTCGGGCTCGGCTGTTCTGCCCCGGTTTTGGTTCGGGGCTTCGGTGCGCTCGCCTATGAGAGGGCGGCGCGGTCGAGTTGGAGCTTCGGCTGCTCCGCTCCCCTTGGCACCCTTTGGTGCCTGGCTGGAAGAGGCCTCCTCCTGCTGGGAGGTCCTCCAGTCCCACTGGGAACTCCAGTCGGAGTCCCAGTCCCACCAGCCCCACCACTCGGACGTGGCGGCTGGCGGGTGGCGGTTCGGCCCGCGCACCCTAGGAGCGTCGGGGCCTACCGAACCAGCTCCGCTACCATGCGCGGAGGTAGGGTTGCGTATTGGGCTCACTTGTTGTCTTGACACTCAAAAGAAGGCTGCGGTAAGACAGCTTAAGCACAGTTGGCTCAAACCCTCTGGTCTCTACACTGCAGCTACTTACCTAGGTTTCCTAGTGCAAAAGTGCCATGCAAACTACTATGCAACAACACGCTCGCTGAGGTGAGCATCTAAACAGTATATCATCGATACCAAACCTTCACGCGTCTAAATAAATAAATAAATAGATAAATAAATAAATATATATATTTATATATATATATATATATATGTACACACACATCTCTATCGTGGTTTCGGGTTAAGAACGCCCACATTGCAACCAACATCACTTTCCAACCTGCATGGCTGCCGTAGAGGATGATGCTAGAGATTCTAGGCTTTGACGTTATCAGTTAATAGGGTTGTTAAGAAGCTTTCCCAACCGGTTGCAAAGTGGGGATTCCGGAAAGGCTCATGGGTTGTAAAGTGGGGGTTCTGGTTGTAAAGTGGGGATTCTGGTTGTAAAGCGGGGTACACGCCCCTTTAAGCCCCCCTTAACCCCCCCGCTGTTTTTAGAAGCTTGCCGAAAACAAAGAAAAAGGCTGCCAATGACCAGTCCCTGCCACAAAAGAAGTAGAAGCCACACGAAACCGCTTTATGTGGTTTTTGCGAAGAAATCAAAGAAAACAAAACACCAACAATCACCAAACAAAAGGAGAAGAACCACACAGAATCGCTTTGTGGGGGTTTTACGAAGAAAATTAACTGAGAGCACACTGCAATGACAGAAACCACAAACTCAAACGCAAGCACAAACAAAAGAAGAAGAAGCCACACGAAATCGCTTAATGAGGGTTTTTGCGAAGAAAATAAAATGAGAGAACAAGAAGCAATGATACAAGAGTTCGAACTCTCGGTTCGGAAACTCCATGTTCGAACTCCGGGTTCGGAAACTCTATTTTCGAAACCTGGGTTTCAACTCTTTAGGGCCGCCAGAGTTCGAACCCTGGGTTCGGAAACTCAACGTTCGAACTCTGGGTTCGGGAACTCCTTTCGGGCCGCAAGAGTTCAAACCCTGGGTTCGGAAACTCTATGTTCGAACTCTGGGTTTGGAAACTCTATGTTCAACCCTGGGTTCAAACTCTCTTCGCCTTCAGAGTTCAACTCCAGGTTCAACTCCAGTTCAAGGAGTTGAATTCAACTTGTGGGCGACGGCCCTCTGTTGTCGTAGAACGATCGCTGAGGACCCGTAGCTTTGGGGGGGGCGCAACCCCCCCTAAACGTGGAGTTTCCGAACCCAGGGTTCGAACGCTCTGGGGGGGGGACGACTTCCAGAACCCGAGGTTCCAACATAGAGTTTCCCAAACCCCCGGGTTCCAACATAGAGTTCCCGAACCCAGGGTTCGGACTTCCTGGAGCACCCGGGGGGAGTTCCAACCTGGGGGACCGGGGGAGGTTCCGAACCCGGGTTCGGACTCTCTGGGAAAGGGAGAGAAGTTCCCGAACCCGGGGTTCGAACATGGAGTTCTCCAAACTCCGGGTTAGAACATAGAGTTCCCGAACCCAGGGTTCGAACATAGAGTTTCCGAATCCGGGGTTCTAACGTTCCGAACCCAGGGTTTGAGTTCAAACTCAGGTTCAACGGGTTCGAGAAGTTCGAACCCAGGGTTCAACCCTGAGTTCCGGAGTTATATGTTCTCCTTTCCCAGGAGTTTGAACCCTGGATTCTGGAACACTCCAAAAACCATGCTCAATCGCTTGCTTCTTGGCGGCAAGTCATCCTGCTCCAGAACATCGTCACTATGTTTGAAATGTCGGAAACCCACCTTCCGCCCACGGGAACCATAAGACCCTGAGCAACCAATGCAATCGGTTGCTCACTGTTCACGACGATTAGCTCAGCAGCTAATCGCTCTTCGCCAAGCTCAGATTTACACTCCTGCACCCGCGTGGCAGCAGACGACTGCTGCTTGGCACCGATCCTCGATTCGACTGCAAGTACGAAGAGGAATCTGTGGGATCTTCTTGCTCCAGCAGTCCATCTCTGTCGAGTTGGGAGGTTTGCCTTCTTGAGTCCACAAGATGGGTGGTTGCTGCCGAAAGGCGACTTTGTGAGTTCAGAAACGCTGTGCAAATTGGAGCCAAGTGCATGGCGTCTTGCGTTGGCTGTATTCCCTCTGGGGGACAGCTGGCGACGTGCGAGTCAATGGCTTCTGCGAGTTTTTCTGGGATCTGAAAGCGCATGAGCATTCACTTGTAACCGTAACCCAAGCACAAACGGTGACGGTGTTTTTTTTGGCTTGACTGGGTCTCGTCGACTACGGCTGTAGCACTCGGTCCCTACAAACAAGCGAAACTACAAACCAAGCAACAAACTACAACAAAGCGGTGAAACAGCAAAGCGAAGCTCTACCAAGGGCTGCGGCGCACAGGCTTTGCCGGTGTTAGCCGTTCAGCACAAACTACGGAGCCTCAGCGACCGGTCAGGAGCAACAAAGAGCCGTCGCTCAGAGCTGCCCAAAACAACAGGAGCCAAGTCCAGGCTCCGGTTGCCGTTCTAGTCTCGCCAGACAACGGACAACCCCTGTGTTTTGTTCCGTCACGATCGTGCACACCAAAATCCACAAGTCCAAAGTCCACGGTCGGGCGACGTAAGGTGAAGGCACCCAGGCAGTGAGGGCCAGCCAAAGGTGACAGAAGCGGCGTTCTCGCTCTTACTAACCGCAACATATACCGATGGTGACGCGACCAATGCCAGGCAGTGACGACGACCTACGACAAAGCAGAGCCCAAACACGAGGCCGTAAGAGAAGCAGCGTTCTCGCGCTTACTAACTGCAACCTTGCAACCAGTTGAGAAAAGACACGGACCTAAGCAGACGCTAGAGGCGAGCGTGCAGAAGTGACAGAAGCGGCGTTCTCGCTCTTACTAACCGCAACATAAACCGATGCGCGGCCAATGCCAGACAGAGACGACGAAGCTACGACAAAGCAGAGCCCAAACTCGAGGCCGTAAGAGAAGCAGCGTTCTCGCGCTTACTAACTGCAACCTTGCAACCTGTTGAGAAAAGGCACAGACCGAAACAGACGTTAAGAGGCGGGCATGCAGAAGTGGCAGAAGCGGCGTTCTCGCTCTTACTAACCGCAACCTTCACCGAAATGTCACGACCAATTCGGGCGGCGACAACCGCGCAACGACAAAGCAGAGGCCAAACCCAAGGCCGAAAGAGAAGCAGCGTACTCGCGCCTGCTAACTGCGACCCTGCCCCGTTGGGCAAAGGCACCGCCCGAAGCAGACGTCAAAAGGCAAGCATGGAGGCGGGCGTCCCAGAGCCACCGATACGCCTCTTAGGCGCCTCCTGCGAAATAAGCCGTAGATTTTTGAGGCCTTGGCTATGATACCTCTTCTGCAGGTTTTGGGAGCCCCCCCCCTAGGGCTACACTGCCAAGGACAGCCGTTTGAACATGAGAAGCTGAAAAACCTGCCCTACATCTTAACTAACCCTGCGCAGCGCCCTAAATTTTTAGAAGGGCTCAGCCAAAGGGTGGGACGGGTACCCAACCCCTAAAAAGCGCAAAAGCTCTCGGCAAAACCTTATTTCCATTAAGCTGGGTAGCGATAGTATTTCGCCCCCGTCACGATGATGTTGGAAGCTTTGCGGCGTATGCAGACGTCAAAAGGCAAGCATGGAGGCGGGCGTCCCCGAGCCACCGATACGCCTACTTAGGCGCCTCCTGCGAAACAAGCCGTAGATTTTTGAGGCCTTGGCTATGATACCTCTGCAGGTGTTGGGATCCCCTACCCATTGGCTATACCAAGCACCACCGCTTCAGCTTATCGGGTTAGGAACCTGCCCTAAATCTTAACTAACCCTGTGCAGCGGCCTAAATTTTTAGAAGGGCTCAGCCAAAGGGTGGGACGGGTGCCCAACCCCTAAAAAGCGCAAAGCTCTCGGCAAAACCTTATTTCCATCAATCTGGGTAGCGATAGTATTTCGCCCCCGTCACGATGATGTTGGAAGCTTTGCGGCGTGCAGCACAGCAAGACCTGCCTCTTGACCTGTGTGGCCCTAACCTTTGCGGCAGCGCGACCTTATTGGAGGCGGAGCAACATTGACCGTTTCCAGTGTTGTCAACTGCAAGACTACTTGCTGAGCCTCCACAGCACTGATTGTTACCGGCTGACCTTGCGTGTGAAGGGGCCGTGCTTCAAGCAGATGCTGGAAAGTTTCAAAGACGGCCCATGCCGAGCGTCTTTAATGACCTCCAACCTACCTGCGTGCATGAACAAGCCCTCCTGACCTACTTCTGGGTCGAGTGAAAGGTTTGGCCTTCGAACCTTTGGAGAAACTGCTAAGGCACAGGGCGCCCGATCATGCTGCACAGGCAACTGAGCAGGTGACAAGGGTGGCTTTACCGGCAGGCCACCACGCCGAGCGTTGACTGCGTGAGTCTCGTCACCCAAGCACAGAGAACCGTTCAAGAGCGGGCACAACCAACCCCGCAACCGCACAAGCAAGCCCAGCCCAGAAGCTCTCAAAAGCTCTCGGCAAAACCTTATTTCCATCAATCTCTATACATCTTCTTTATGGTCGACAGTCCCTACAACAATCTGGGTAGCGATAGTATATCGCCCCCGTCACGACGATGTTGGAAACTTTGCGGCGTGCAGCACAGCAAGACCTACCTCTTCTACAGCTGGCTGTAAGGCGAGACGTGGAAGGCATGTTCACAGTGCGTGTGCGCTCAAACACAGATGGCGGCGGCATAGGCAGACTGAACAGGTGACAAGGGTGGCTTTACCGGCAGGCCACCACGCCGAGCGTTGACTGCGTGAGTCTCGTCACCCAAGTACAGAAAACCTTGGCAAAACAGGCACAACCAAACCCACAACTGCACAAGCAAGCCCCCCCCCACGAAGCTCGCCTGGCGAGTGTTGGTCTCCCAGCTGGGATCTCGGGCTTTTGGCTATGACTCCCCCTCTGCAGGTTTTGGGTTCCCCTACCCTTTGGCTATACCAAGCCAGCCGCTTCAGCTTGAACCTGCCCTAAATCTTAACTAACCCTGTGCAGCGGCCTAAATTTTTAGAAGGGCTCAGCCAAAGGGTGGGACGGGTGCCCAACCCCTAAAAAGCGCAAAGCTCTCGGCAAAACCTTATTTCCATCAATCTGGGTAGCGATAGTATTTCGCCCCCGTCACGATGATGTTGGAAGCTTTGCGGCGTGCAGCACAGCAAGACCTGCCTCTTGACCTGTGTGGCCCTAACCTTTGCGGCAGCGCGACCTGACCTCCAACCTACCTGCGTGCATGAACAAGCCCTCCTGACCTACCTCTGCGTCGAGTGAAAAGGTTTGGCCTTCGAACCTGTGGTCAAACTGCTAAGGCACAGGGGCCCGATCATGCTGCACAGGCAACTGAGCGGGTGACAAGGGTGGCTTTACCGGCAGGCCACCACGCCGAGCGTTGACTGCGTGAGTCTCGTCACCCAAGCACAGAGAACCGTTCCAAAGCGGGCACAACCAACCCGCAACCGCACAAGCAAGCCCCCCCCCGTGTTGGAAACTTTGCGGCGTGCAGCACAGCAAGACCTACCTCTTCTACAGCTGGCTGTAAGGCGAGACGTGGAAGGCATGTTCACAGTGCGCGTGCGCTCAAACACAGATGGCGGCGGCATAGGCAGACTGAACAGGTGACAAGGGTGGCTTTACCGGCAGGCCACCACGCCGAGCGTTGACTGCATGAGTCTCGTCACCCAAGTACAGAAGACCTTGGCAAAACAGGCACAACCAAGCCCACCACTGCACAAGCAAGCCCCCCTCCCCCGAAGCTCGCTTGGCGAGCGTTGGCCTCCCAGCTGGGGTTTCAGGCTTTTGGCTATGACTCCCCCTCTGCAGGTTTTGGGATCCCCTACCCTTTGGCTATACCAAGCACCAGGCTATCGGGTTAGGAACCTGCCCTAAATCTTAACTAACCCTGTGCAGCGGCCTAAATTTTTAGAAGGGCTCAGCCAGAGGGTGGGACGGGTGCCCAACCCCTAAAAAGCGCAAAAGCTCTCGGCAAAACCTTATTTCTATCAATCTCTATACATCTTCTTTATGGTCGACAGTCCCTACAACAATCTGGGTAGCGATAGTATTTCGCCCCCGTCACGACGATGTTGGAAACTTTGCGGCGTGCAGCACAGCAAGACCTACCTCTTCTACAGCTGGCTGTAAGGCGAGACGTGGAAGGCATGTTCACAGTGCATGTGCGCTCAAACACAGATGGCGGCGGCATAGGCAGACTGAACAGGTGACAAGGATGGCTTTACCGGCAGGCCACCACGCCGAGCGTTGACTGCGTGAGTCTCGTCACCCAAGTACAGAAAACCTTGGCAAAACAGGCACAACCAAACCCACAACTGCACAAGCAAGCCCCCCCCCCGAAGCTCGCTTGGCGAGTGTTGGCCTCCCAGCTGGGATCTGGCTTTTGGCTATGACTCCCCCTCTGCAGGTTTTGGGATCCCCTACCCTTGGGCTATACCCAGCACCACCGCTTCAGCTTATCGGGTTAGGAACCTGCCCTAAATCCTAACTAACCCTGTGCAGCGGCCTAAATTTTTAGAAGGGCTTAGCCAAAGGGTGGGACGGGTGCCCAACCCCTAAAAGCGCAAAAGCTCTCGGCAAAACCTTATTTCCGTCAATCTGGGTAGCGATAGTATTTCGCCCCCGTCACGATGATGTTGGAAGCTTTGCGGCGTGCAGCACAGCAAGACCTGCCTCTTGACCTGTGTGGCCCTAACCTTTGCGGCAGCGCGACCTGACCTCCAGCCTACCTGCGTGCGCGGAACCTGGCTCCTAAACTTCACGGCGGGTGTGTTGGAGCCTGAGCTGCAAACCTGGGAGCCCGGCGTGTGGCTCTTGTGCACTGTTCAGCGGCACGGCAGCTTCAAGCAGCACCACAGTCACACAAGTTTGTTGCAATAGCGTTGAACCAAACCTCCTCCAGACCGTCAGATTGGCACAAGGTTACTTCGTGCCAAAGGGCTTGCAAACCACTCAAGA